AATTAGAAAGTCTGTAAGTGTTATATTTATATTATATTTAATATGTGTTATCTTATATTTAATATGTGTTAATATATGACAGTATGCTGAGAAAAATGGTATACTATAAAATATTAATTTAGGTTAATATTAGAAGTCCCCAGTGAGACAAATGGCAAGTGTTTAACTACTAGACAAAAGACTGACAGTTTGAACCCACCCAGAGGCTCCTCAGGAGAAAGGTCTAGCAATCTGCTTCCAAAAGGTCATGGTCTTTGGAGCAGTACTTTTTTTTAAAATTGAGATTTGAATGAAAGTTTATAAAGAATGGATTTTCATTCATTCATTGCTGCACATTTTCCTCCCTGCCCCTCCTCCCCCCCAAGTTCACTTTTTTCTTTGAAAAAAAAGCTCTCATTGTTATATAGCCCCCACCACCACCACTTTACTGTGCGGCTCTTATTCTGGACTCTTGTCATGAAAATAATACCTTAATCATGTGTTCCTTTTATACAGTTCTCTCCCTTGTCTGTTTCAATGCTGTGTACATTATTTATCCCCTCTTTTCTTAGTTTTCTGGAGCAGAACTTTTGAGCAAAACTCTTTGGGGCAGTTTTCCTCGGTATGCAAGGAGTCACCAGGAGTCAGAACTGACTTGATGGCAACTAACAATAACAGGTGGCTGCTTGGAGGTTTGGGCCCACTCAACCCTTTATGAATTGTCAAGGAAGAGAGAGGCAAAGGAATTGCTTCATGTGGTTCAAAACGAGTACGGCACTGAGAATCAGTCAAGAAACCTGATCCCTGGAAACAATTTTTGAGAAGATTCTCTCTGCCCTCCCAGATCTGCAATAACGGAGGGATAAAAAACAGAAAAGACACCTGATCCCTGATGCTGCAGGTGCTACCTAGTCAGCATTTCTCAAAGCAGGAAGCATATGCTCCTAGGTTACAATCGCCTTGTCATACTCTGTTCCCGGAGACTCACAGTTTGTATTTGCATAGTAGAGCCTCCATGGATTCCTGCAGCAGAGAAGCCTGTCTAACTTTGTTAAACTCCACATTTCTCAGACTTTTGGCCCTAGAAAATGTTCCTCAGGACACATAAGAATAGGATGGCATCCCTTTTTACCCACTTTCAACTTAAATCTGTCATTCCAACAGTTACTGATAACATACTTTTCCACTCTGAGGAGTGTTTCTATGGGGATGCTAGCTTATAAGGTCATCATCCTACCTGTAATATCCCACAACACTGATGTTCTGCAGAATATCTTAGGAAATGTGGAGCTAGATTTGTAGGTTAGGTTTGACTTTTTTGCTGTACATCTAAGCTTTCTGTGAAGTTGTTTTTGGTATTACTGGTCTCCTACATTGTCGACTCTAATTGGCAGTTATTCAAGTGACAATACCATGTTACCTCACTCACACTATTATTATTTACGGTATTTGTCCACGTTTTGCCACCTCTAGATTCAATATCAGAAGAAGACAAAGACAATGCTTTACATAGGTCTTTAGTCTTTCTGCAGTACACTTTGTGTTCCACTGTGCACTGTTAGTTTTTATAACTGGCAAGTTGACTGTGACTCATCGCTACTCTATAAATAAGGGATCTGAACTTAGCCCTATCCTGTGTCATCCTCAGCACCTCCAATACAATTAAGACCATTGTTACAGTCACTATGTCAATCCATCTTGTTGAGGGTTTCCTCCCTTACGCTGACCTTTCACCTTTCCAAGCATGATATCCTTCTAGCTCCTCCTAACAACATGATGTGGAGCATAAATAAAGATTGACACAAACATTCTGGAGGGCAATCTGATAGTATCTGAAGTTAAAGAAAAGAAGAAAGTTAGGAAATGCAAGTATTTGTAAATTATTTTTGTTTAATCAGAGTAAAAAACAACCATGAGTTATCATCTCACCCAAGTAACAATAGCATAGTTCAACAGGGCAGCAAACAAATGCTGGTGAGGTGGTGGAGAGACTGGAATTCTTATTCACTGCTGGTGAGAATGTAAAATGGTACAAGCACTATGGAAGGTAGTCTGGCCTTTTCTCAAAAAGCTGGAAATATGGGGTGAGTAAAGGAAATGGGGAAAATCCAGTGTGAAAAACAAGATCCATGAACTTCATAAGTAAATGAGTATAAAATAAAAATTTTATATATTTTTTAAAAAGTTGGAAATAGAAATACCATTTGACCCAGCAATTCCACTACTAGGAATATATCCTAAAGAAACCAGACCCAGGACTCAAACAGATGTATGCACACTCAATGTTTATTGCTGTGTTATTCACAATATCAAAGAGATGGAAGCAATTCAAGTGCCCATCAACAAAAAATGGATAGAAAAACTATGGTCCATTCACACAATGCAATAATATGCAGCATTGAAAAAATAATGCATTCATAAAACATTATACAACGTAGGGGAACCTGGAGGACATTATATTGAGTGAAATATCTCAGTTACAAAAGGACAAATACTAAATAACACTGATGTCATAAGATAGGACAGACATCAGGAGGTTGGGGAGAGAACGGGGGAAGAGAGAATAGATAATGAAACTGGCATTAGAACAGATAAGGGGAAGAATTGTCCAAAAGGAATGTATGATTATGCATTATCTTTATGAGAACAATCTGGAACAAAATGTGCATTGTAGGGTGGGCTGGCAGGGAAGAAAATGTGCAAGAAACAATGAATAATAGTAAAAAATATTTTTAAGAGAACAGAGAAAAACATTTGAGCAGTCAACATGTTCATTGTACTGAGTTGATTAAACAGACTACAGTATTTCCACACAATGAAGTAGATTTAAATATTAAGTGAAATCTGTATTAATTGGCTTGGAAAGATGTCCACATTTAGACAAGGGTATGGGGGGGAAGCATGTTAAAAGATTTTTTAGGATCTATAAGAAGTTTCCCTTTGTTATAATACCCACAGCTGTGAAGCTGATTCCCATTCATAGAGACTCTCAAGTTTCTGAGGCCATAAATCTTAATGGGGGGAAAAACTGCCCATCTTTCTCCCACAGAGCAGCTGGTGAATTCTCACTGCCATGGCCTTTGGGCTAGCAGTGTAACTCCCTTCTAACTAGGCCAACAGAGGTCCCCGCAGACCAGCTCGTGGATACAAACCACCGACAGCAGCCCAGCACTTTACACACTATGCCACCAAGGCTCCTTCTTTGCTATGATAGCAGTACATGAAAATTTCTCCCATTTGTTCTTTCCAATGACTGCTTAAGATTTCAATGAATTCATCACATTTCATGCTTAGCCCATTTTCAGAGTTTTCCTTCTGGCTGAAAACAATCCTCAAGGGCATTCATTTGCACTTTCACTTTGAGACAATAGACATTTTCCATATCCCAGCCCAGACTGTGGCATTTTTTTTTAAACAGACCAGGCAAGCATTTCATCTTAACTATCTCGGTGTCCCCATACAAGTTTGGCACATAGTAACATTAATCAATATTGTTTGAGTGAATGAATGGATGATTGATGAGATCCCCTGTTATACATGGGTTTAAATGATTTTCTTTTCTTCCACCATAGTTTTAGGCTTGCTTTGAGCCATTCATACCATCAATAAATATTTACTGAGTGATAACACTGAGAGCGAGTGAGGCTGTACCAAGTAGGACAGAGGCTCAGACAAGACCGCAGCTCTCTGCTCTTGGGCATCGAGAAGTAGGATTATTGCTATGAGCTGAACTGAAGTTCATTTCACACAAGTTTTTTGTTTGTTTGTTTCCTTTCAACTTCTCAACTTCTTTCTACAAACACATGGTTTCCAAAATGTCCCATAAATTTAACAGTACTTGGGATTACCACTTCTTTGAAGTTTAAGTCTTTAATCCTTGTAATAATGAACCAAGAAGTTCCAAAGTACAGAATAAAGCAGTAGAAAAAAATAATTACTCTCTTAGCCATATACCCAAATTCTAAGAAAGAGTGAATCTGGGAGCCTCACCTATAGTGAAAAGAATCCACTCCTTCCCTTCAAATGCAGACAGCAGCTTTTCCCACTGGGCTTGCCAAAAGAAGCCGGAAGCACCCCAGAATCTCTGCAGATGCCTTGGAAGAAAAAACAGTGAGGTTACAGAATGAAGACTGGTAGGAAGACAGCCCCTCACTCTGTTCTCTGCTTCCAGATCATCAACATACTACCCTCCCAGGTCCTGAATTAAGGTGGGGTCAGGCCAACTTACCAGGTGACTGAGTTCCATAAAGCCACAAACAAGAGAAGGCCAGAGCCCAGGATGAACACCGTCCTCCGCATGGAGCCCCAGATATGTCCTTCCTGGGTCAGAACAAGAAAGTGTTAGGCCCCAGCAAGCCTCTTGTCTGCCCACTCAGCTCACTGCTGAGGCAGAGCAGGAGCGACACAGGGAGGACCTCAATCAAGTCACCAACACATCTGCTGACCTGTTCTCAGCTTCTAGGGAGGCTCTCCCTTATCAAAAACACCCAGGCTGTATATGGGTGTGTTTATGAAAATCAAAAGCTCAGGGTTGGAGGAGGAAAAATAATTCACCTGATATCAGAGTAACTATTAGGCAATTTTATCATTCAGAGATGTACTGTCAGCTTTTACTAGCTGGGGATTCTATCACTAGTCCTTCTTGCTGACGCAGAGACCCATGAACTGTACACTGGAAGCATCATGCTGTTTTTCGAAATCTCAATGCCTCCTAACCCAATTACGTAAGTCTCTATTGGTCGGGCCTGGCTAGCTATGGGTTTGAGTTTGGGTTCCCCCCCCCCCAACCATTTCAAGTTTATTAAAACTTTAGCAGTACAAATTATCCAGGTTGCAGATTATTAAAAGACCAATTAAATGAAGTATACACTTAAAAGAATGAAAAAACAAACAGAAAACAATGAAGAAAACAACATAGAGATTCATCAACCAGTCTCTAAAACTTAAAACTTGAGACAGAATGTAAGTTTATACAACTTACTCATCCATTTTTGTCTTCACCTGTTCGATTACACTGAGTTGCATAACTATCTGCATCCTCCTCTTATGAGTTGTACTTTTCCTATTAACAAACTCACTGTTCCAAATTTTTTCTTTGTGTCATGTATGTGGTTATTTTCTTGACCCTTTGATTTCTGCCTCACTTCTTTTTCCACTGAAGATCTGGTCTTCTTATCCTCCTTGTTTTTCAATGTGGAGGTCTTTAACTCATTGTCCTAGCTGCTTTGTTTTGTTTTTTGAGAGTGGACTTTGATCTCTAGCAGTTTTTCCCCCCTCTGCTATTAGTTCACCCGTAGCCAGAAAATTAAAAGGTGCATTGCCATGGGAAAGTCTGCTGTTAGGGACCTCTCCAAAGTACTGAAGAGCAATGGTGTCTCTCTGAAGACTAAGTTGCGTCTGATACAGGCCACAGTCTTCACAATCACTTGTTATGCATCAGAGAGTTGGACAATGAC